CGTGGCAAAAAGGGGTTATGGCGACCTGAAATAGAGTGGGGGGGGGGGGCTGTAGTGCTTACATCAGATCTTTCTTCGAGTGAAAATAGTGCTACAGAATGTGTTGTGAACGTGCCGCGGGTTGGATTGTGGCGTTGGTTGCCAGTTTCTCTGCAGTACCCCAATAGACCAAGGCATCGACACAATTGCGTGGGTACATTTGCTTTCTAAAACGTCGCTTCCTAAGCTGCGATTGGGCAGAACATGGGCAACGATTAGCGCGGAGGAAAGAAATATGACAATAAGGTGTCTTGATTTCAGTATAGCCTACCTAAAAGGATACCTAGTGTATCCTTCTGGTAACAATAGGGTTAAGTTGACGACCGAATGAACCAACCCTGTTTCCTAAGTTTAACCGAAATGGACAATACAACTTCCTCAAATTTATGAAACGACTGCCCTAGTGTCGCCATTATTATTTGATTATTACTCGATTTCAGTATAACCTACCTAAAAGGATACCTAGTGTATCCTTCTGGTAACAATAGGATTAAGTTGGCGATCGAATGAACCAACCCTGTTTCCTAAGTTTAACCGAAATGGACAATACAACTTCCTCAAATTTATGAAACGACTGCCCTAGTGTCGCCATTATTATTAACCAAGAAACGTTTAAGGACAATAAGAGAACCAACCGTTGATGGTCTTACTTGGCATCACTTTAGGTAGATGCTCCTGTGAATGTATATAGAAATACACCCTGTATTAGCTCTCTACAATCATACAAACTTAGCAGTCTTCGTTTACCTACGCGTTATTGCATGAGCGGCTGTACCGTAAGGTGTCTGAATTAACTTCCCGGAGAGGATTTGCCTTAAGTTAAGAACAAGGGGTCGTCAAGCTCGATAGTTTAATCCAGTATAACTTCAAATTCATGCAAATTGGCGTCGGGCGTCTCAACGTCATATCACACAGAGGCGATTGCGCTTGCCGCTTGTCGAATTTTGTTCTTATAATCGAGAGGTGTTACAGCCGCCAAAAGACGATAAGACGACAGGAAATAAAGTGTGTGGGGGGGGGCTGTAGTGCTTACATCAGATCTTTCTTCGAGTATAAATAGTGCTACAGAATGTGTTGTGAACGTGCCGCGGGTTGGATAGTGGCGTTGGCTGCCAGTTTCTCTGCAGTACCCCAATAGGACAAAGCATCGACACAATTGCGTGGGTACATTTGCATTCTAAAACGTCGCTTCCTAAGCTGCGATTGGGCAGAACATGGGCGACGATTAGCGCGGAGGAAAGAAATATGACAATAAGGTGTCTTGATTTCAGTATAACCTAACTAAAAGGATACCTAGTGTATCCTTCTGGTAACAATAGGGTTAAGTTGGCGACCGAATGAACCAACCCTGTTTCCTAAGTTTAACCGAAATGGACAATCCAACTTCCTCAAATTTATGAAACGACTGCCCTAGTGTCGCCATTATTATTAACCAAGAAACGTTTAAGGACAATAAGAGAACCAACCGTTGATGGTCTTACTTGGCATCACTTTAGGTAGATGCTCCTGTGAATGTATATAGAAATATACCCTGTATTAGCTCTCTACAATCATACAAACTTAGCAGTCTTCGCTTACCTACGCGTTATTGCGTGAGCGGCTGTACCGTAAGGTGTCTGAATTAACTTCCCGGAGAGGATTTGCCTTAAGTTAAGAACAAGAGGTCGTCAAGATCGATAGTTTAATACAGTATAACTTCAAATTCATGCAAATCGACGTCGGGCGTCTCAACGTCATATCACACAGAGGCGATTGCGCTTGCCGCTTGTCGAATTTTGTTCTTATAATCGAGAGGTGTTACAGCCGCCAAAAGACGATAAGACGACAGGAAATAAAGTGTGTGGGGGGGCTGTAGTGCTTACATCAGATCTTTCTTCGAGTATAAATAGTGCTACAGAATGTGTTGTGAACATGCCGCGGATTGGATAGTGGCGTTGGCTGCCAGTTTCTCTGCAGTACCCCAATAGGACAAGGCATCGACACAATTGCGTGGGTACATTTGCTTTCTAAAACGTCGCTTCCTAAGCTGCGATTGGGCAGAACATGGGCGACGATTAGCGCGGAGGAAAGAAATATGACAATAAGGTGTCTTGATTTCAGTATAACCTAACTAAAAGGATACCTAGTGTATCCTTCTGGTAACAATAGGGTTAAGTTGGCGACCGAATGAACCAACCCTGTTTCCTAAGTTTAACCGAAATGGACAATACAACTTCCTCAAATTTATGAAACGACTGCCCTAGTGTCGCCATTATTATTAACCAAGAAACGTTTAAGGACAATAAGAGAACCAACCGTTGATGGTCTTACTTGGCATCACTTTAGGTAGATGCTCCTGTGAATGTATATAGAAATATACCCTGTATTAGCTCTCTACAACCATACAAACTTAGCAGTCTTCGCTTACCTACGCGTTATTGCATGAGCGGCTGTACCGTAAGGTGTCTGAATTAACTTCCCGGAGAGGATTTGCCTTAAGTTAAGAACAAGGGGTCGTCAAGCTCGATAGTTTAATCCAGTATAACTTCAAATTCATGCAAATCGACGTCGGGCGTCTCAACGTCATATCACACAGAGGCGATTGCGCTTGCCGCTTGTCGAATTTTGTCCTTATAATCGAGAGGTGTTACAGCAGCCAAAAGACGATAAGACGACGGGAAAAAAAGAAACTTTATCGCCTAAACAAACCAAAAAAAAAAACATCTGCTCCAAGGTAATTTACAGTAAACACGCCGTTCCGTCATCAATACCAGTATAAGTAACGCCTCAATATCCTAAATTAAGAGCTATATAAACAGTTTGAATTACACGTACACCACACATTAGTGTGTCTAGTACACTACATCGTGTAAATTACATTTTTCACACTTAGTATATATCCCAAAAATTTAACCCCTTCAAACCGGGAGCCTGCATATGCAGCTTTTCAAAAATGCTTAACTTGCTAGCGATGATGCGTCGTACATTACTGGCACCTCCTTCGTTGTTGACGGCGGTATTACATCTGCCTACGTGACGAGCGAGGGTCGTGTCGACCCTTTCGGAGGCCCTAGCGAGGTGTAGGACGCAGAAACTATTGGTGATTTCCTCGTAGGTGTTGGGAAGGACAGTAGAGAAAGCATGATCTAACACACAAATATGTAGCCCGCGTTACATTAGTCGGCAGCGTTGGCAATACTTCAGCACTACTACATGTACTTCTACATGTACTTCTACTGTTGTACTATGTGTAGTAGAAGTAGCTCTTCGAAGTTCACAATAAAAGGGATCATGCCAAATCGATTGATTTCTTGTCTGAAATTTGTTCACCACTGCAGTCATCTATCCACCTGCAGAGCAACCTTCGTTTTCTGTAAACTCTAAACACGGAAGTTCCACTACACACCAACCAAGCACAGCGTTAGTAGAGAAATGAGAGCAAGTAATGAGCACTAGCACTTACCGCTTTGAGCTTCGTGACGCCACGGAATCCGTGCTTTGAGAGGCTGACGCCCTTGCCGGAGTCACGGTTGCCAGTCCACGGGAGATAGGGGTCAAGCACGTCACATCGATTCATGTACACCGTTCCAGCGCTAATCTGCGAGCCCAGAGCCATAGCGTGCTCACGGTCTGATGAGAATACCGACGCTGTCAGTCCGTACTTGCTGTCGTTGATTTTCTTGATGGCTTCAGCATCCGATGACACACGTTCAACACCGACAATCGGTCCGAAGGATTCCTCCGTCATGATGCCCATGGAGTCATTACAGTTCGCAAGCAGGGTAGGCGAGTAGAAGCGGCCTTTTCCAGCTGCGTCCGAGATTCCGCTTCCCGTCAGCTGTAGAGCACCCTTCGCCACTGCGTCATTCACATGAGCATCGAGCATTTCCGGAGCAGTAGGAAGTGCCATCGGACCCATCGAAGTGTTGGCGTCCGTCGGGTCACCCAAGTTGTAGGCCTCAAACAAACTCTTCGCCTTCTCCAAGAATTGGTCGTACTTGGACTCGTGGACGTAGATCCGCTCCACACCGCAGCACGACTGACCGGCATTGTAGCAAACACCATCCACAAGGCCCTCTGCTGCGGCTTCAGCGTCAGCTTCAGCAGTCACGTATCCAGCGTCCTACAACAAGGTAGTAGGTATTAGCGCTCGAGACTCAAAAGCAAAGAAGCGGTAGCTGGCCTACATTTCCGCCCAGCTCCAAAGTCACATCGATGGAGCGTTGGGATGCTACTTGTTGTACTTGTCGTCCGCTGTGGTGGGGGATTCATACTATTAGAAAGCGGGCCCACAAGTTGGAAAACACGACAGACGTACCCTCGGACAGACCCCGTAAACGATACGAATGCCGTCTCCGGGCGCTGGATGATCTCTGAAGCCGTGTCGTGCTCAACAAATGACGACTGGAGCACGTTCTTCGGGAAGCCCGCTTGCTCGAACGTCTTTTGATAGTGCTCTCCGCATAGAGGAGTGCGAGGCGAGTGCTTTAGCAGCACCGAGTTACCGGCCAAAACAGCGGGGATGATCGAGTTGACTGCTGTCATGAGAGGATAGTTCCATGGAGCCTGTTTCCAGTTGCAGAGCATTAGGTGCGACTAGTGAAAGAGAAGGAGTTCAAACCACGTACAATAACATAAACGACGCCGACA